GACAGGTGTGACAGGTGTGTGTGTGGCAGGTGCTGGAGCAGAAGCCCCTCCCCCTGGCAGGTGGGGAGCAGGTGGACAGGTGTGACAGGTGTGTGTGTGGCAGGTGCTGGAGCAGAAGCCCCTCCCCCTGGCAGGTGGGGAGCAGGTGGAGTACCTGTTGGCGCTGAAGCAGGAGTTCAGAGGAGCCTCCAGGAACCTCCCCAGTTTCCTCCAAAACAAAATCCACAAACCCGACGTGGAACGATACTCGGACAAGTACCACAGTCCAGACCAGGACCAAGACCAGGACCAGGACCAGACCACAGGTGAGACCAGGACCAGACCAAGACCAGGACCAGACCAGGACCAGATCAAGACCAGGACCAGACCACAGGTGAGACCAGGACCAGACCAAGACCAGGACCAGACCAGGACCAGATCAAGACCAGGACCAGACCACAGGTGAGACCAGGACCAGATTAGTGACATAGTCAGAAAGGAGATCTTGTTTGTTCCCAAAAGTTGAAGCAGTAAAGACCTAACCCCACAGACCCCACAGACCCCACAGACCCCACAGACCCCACAGACCCCACAGAGTCCACAGACCCCACAGAGTCCACAGAGTCCACAGACCCCACAGAGTCCACAGAGTCCACAGACCCACAGACCACAGACCCCACAGACCCCACAGAGTCCACAGACCCCACAGACCCCACAGACCCCACAGAGTCCACAGACCCCACAGACCCCACAGACCCCACAGAGTCCACAGACCCCACAGACCCCACAGAGTCCACAGACCCCACAGAGTCCACAGACCCCACAGAGTCCACAGACCCCACAGAGTCCACAGACCCCACAGACCCCACAGAGTCCACAGAGTCCACAGACCCCACAGAGTCCCCACAGAGTCCACAGACCCCACAGACCCCACAGAGTCCACAGACCCCACAGAGTCCACAGACCCCACAGACCCCACAGAGTCCACAGACCACAGAGTCCACAGAGTCCACAGAGTCCACAGACCCACAGACCCCCACAGAGTCCACAGACCCCACAGAGTCCACAGAGTCCACAGACCCCACAGACCCCAGACCCACAGAGTCCACAGAGTCCACAGACCCCACAGACCCACAGAGTCCACAGAGTCCACAGAGTCCACAGACCCCACAGTCCACAGACCCACAGAGTCCACGGAGTCCACAGACCCCACAGAGTCCACAGACCCACAGACCCCACAGACCCCACAGAGTCCACAGACCCCACAGACGTCCACAGACCCCACAGACCCCACAGAGTCCACAGAGACCCCACAGACCCCACAGACCCCACAGAGTCCCCACAGAGTCCACAGACCACAGACCCCACAGACCCCACAGAGTCCACAGAGTCCACAGACCCCACAGACCCCACAGAGTCCACAGACCCCACAGAGTCCACAGAGTCCACAGACCCCACAGACCCCACAGAGTCCACAGAGTCCACAGACCCCACAGAGTCCACAGACCCCACAGAGTCCACAGACCCCACAGAGTCCACAGACCCCACAGACCCCACAGAGTCCCCACGGAGTCCACAGAGTCCACAGACCCCACAGACCCCACAGACCCCACAGAGTCCACAGACCCCACAGAGTCCACAGACCACAGACCCCACAGAGTCCACAGAGTCCACAGACCCACAGAGTCCCACAGAGTCCACAGACCCACAGACCCACAGACCCCACAGACCCCACAGAGTCCACAGAGTCCACAGAGTCCACAGACCCCACACCCCACAGAGTCCACAGACCCACAGACCCACAGACCACAGACCCCACAGACCCCACAGAGTCCACAGACCCACAGACCCACAGACCCAGACCCCCCACAGAGTCCACAGACCCCACAGAGTCCACAGACCCCACAGACCCCACAGAGTCCCCACAGAGTCCACAGACCCCACAGACCCCACAGAGTCCACAGACCCCACAGAGTCCACAGACCCCACAGAGTCCACAGAGTCCACAGACCCCACAGACCCCACAGACCCCACAGAGTCCACAGAGTCCACAGACCCCACAGAGTCCACAGACCCCACAGACCCCAGACCCCACAGACCCCACAGACCCCACAGACCCACAGAGTCCACAGACCCACAGACCCAGACCCCACAGACCCCCACAGACCCCACAGACCCCACAGACCACAGAGTCCACAGAGTCCACAGACCCCACAGACCCCACAGACCCACAGACCCACAGAGTCCACAGACCCCACAGAGTCCCCACAGACCCCACAGACCCCACAGAGTCCACAGAGTCCACAGACCCCACAGAGTCCACAGACCCACAGAGTCCACAGACCCCACAGACCCCACAGACCCCACAGACCCCACCACACCCCCACAGACCCCACAGACCCCACAGACCCCACAGAGTCCACAGACCACAGACCCCACAGAGTCCACAGATCCACAGACCACACACAGACCCCACAGAGTCAACAGAGTCCACAGACCCACAGAGTCCACAGAGTCCACAGACCCCACAGACCCCACAGACCCCACAGACCCCACAGACCCCACAGAGTCCACAGAGTCCCACAGACCCCACAGACCCCACAGAGTCCACAGAGTCCACAGACCACAGACCCCACAGACCCCACAGACCCCACAGACCCACAGATCCACAGACCCCACAGACCCCACAGACCCCACAGACCCCACAGACCCCACAGAGTCCACAGACCCCACAGACCCCCACAAGATCCACAGACCCCACAGACCCCACAGAGTCCACAGAGTCCACAGACCCCACAGACTCCACAGACCCCACAGACCCCACAGAGTCCACAGACCCCACAGAGTCCACAGAGCCCACAGAGCCCACAGACCCCACAGAGTCATGGACATTATTCTGTTCTTCATACAGTCAGAGAGCAGCTCTCATGTGCAGGACGTCCACATTACACAAAAATGTAGGGAAGATTTAGGGTTGGAGTCAGGTTCGGGTTTGTGTCGTGCGCAGACTCGGGTCGCAGACTCGGGTCGCAGACTCGGGTCGCAGACTCGGGTCGCAGACTCGGGTCGCTCTGGCGCTCGGTGCGTAAAGACTAAAGTAAAAGTGTTATAGTTGAGTTCATTAAATCAAAGTCTGGCTCCTGCTGCGTCCAAGGGAGTTTAGTCTCAGGTCGGGTCATTATTTCGTCCTCTGTGTTGGTCAGTCTGTGTTGGTCAGTCTGTGTTGGTCAGTCTGTGTTGGTCAGTCTGTGTCTGTAGACGTCTGTGGTCGTGGTGTGGACTGTGGGAGACTCTGCGCTGCACCGGGAACGTGGCCGTGCTCGTGCACAAGTTTCAAATGTATAATATTGTAGAAAATAATGAGTGGAATAAACAGCTCTTCTCAGTGTTTTGTGAACCAACACATTCTTTTATATAAGTGGAGTTTCTGTTAAGTTCCTGAACAAAATCTTCCTCAAACTCCTGAGTTGGCCTAGAGTTTACGGGAGGACCGGAGCTGCCGTAGACTTAAACAAAGCGCTGCTCTTAAGACGAGTTTCATAAATCCGGCGGTCGACTACACAAGGATTTGTTCAGAAGTGAGATTTATAAATGAGGCCCTGGTCTCTTGTTTCAGATTGGTCGAGGTTTCCCAGGGAGCTCAGAGTGCGTTCACAGAAGCTCCGCCCCACAGGTAAGAAACACCTCCCCCCTCTGCACCTCCCCCCTCTGCACCTCCCTCTGCACCCCCCCTCTGCACCTCCCCCTCTGCACCTCCCCTCTCTGCACCTCCCCCTCTGCACCTCCCCTCTCTGCACCTCCCCCCTCTGCACCTCCACCCTCTGCACCTCCCCCTCAGCACCTCCACCCTCTGCACCTCCTCCCTCTGCACCTCCCCCTCTGCACCTCCCCCCTCTGCACCTCCCCCCTCTGCACCTCCCCCCTCTGCACCTCCCCCCTCTGCACCTCCCCCCTCTGCACCTCCCCCCTCCACCTCCCCCTGCACCTCCACCCTCTGCACCTCCCCCTCTGCACCTCCTCCCTCTCTGCACCTCCACCCTCTGCACCTCCCCCTCTGCACCTCCCCTGCACCTCCCCTCCACCTCTGCCCTCCCTCCCCTCTGCTCCCCCCTCTGCACCTCCACCCTCTGCACCTCCCCCCTCTGCACCTCCTCCCTCTGCACCTCCACCCTCTGCACCTCCCCCTCTGCACTCCCCCCTCTGCCCTCACCTGCCTCCCCCCTCCCCTCTGCACCTCCACCCTCTGCACCTCCCCTCACTCTCTGCAACCTCCCCTCTGCACCTCCCCCTCTGCACCTCCACCCTCTGCACCTCCACCCTCTGCACCTCCCCCTCTGCACCTCCACCCCCCCTCTGCACCTCCTCCTCTGCACCTCCTCCCTCTGCACCTCCTCCCTCTGTGTGATGTTTGTCTGTTTCAGGTCCCAAAGTCAAACCTCGAAGTGAAGCTCCAAAAAAACTGAAAACCCAAGAAAAAGACGTCCTGAAGAAACTAGAGGTGAGACCGGACTAAACGGGGACTAAACGGGAACTAAACCAGGACTAAACCAGGACTAAACCAGGTCTAAACCAGGACTAAACCAGGACTAAACCAGGTCTAAACCAGGTCTAAACCAGGACTAAACCAGGTCTAAACCAGGTCTAAACCAGGTCTAAACCAGGACTAAACCAGGACTAAACCAGGTCTAAACCAGGTCTAAACCAGGTCTGGAGTAATGCTGCATGTTTAATTCTAAGGAGTGTTTTGTGTTTAGAGTCTGGAGCAGAAAGAGACTCACAGCGACGAAGAGGAGGAGGAGGAGGAGGAGAAGAAGGGAGAAGAGGAGGAGGGAGAGGAGGAGCAGATCGAAGAGGATGAGTTTGAGGAGGTATGTGACCCCTGACCCCTGAGAGGAGAGAGAGTGTGTATACCTTTTCTAAGTGTGTGTGTGTGTGTGTGTGTGTGTGTGTGTGTGTGTGTGTGTGTGTTTTGTGTACTTATTGAGTTTGGTCTAAACTGGGCATGTTCTGGGTGAACCCCGGCACAGTGTGAGGCGCCCTCTGGTGGGCACTCGGCCTCATGTGCAGTGTTAAGTCCTGAATCACACAAACTCTGAGCTTTAAGCCATGTTCTACTGTTCTACTGTTCTTATGTTCTACTGTTCTTATGTTCTACTGTTCTTATGTTCTAATGTTCTGATGTTCTAATGTTCTGTTCTGTTGTTATGATGTTCTTATGTTCTACTGTTCTACTGTTCTTATGTTCTACTGTTCTTATGTTCTACTGTTCTGTTGTTATGATGTTCTTATGTTCTACTGTTCTAATGTTCTTATGTTCTGATGTTCTAATGTTCTGATGTTCTGATGTTCTGATGTTCTAATGTTCTGATGTTCTATGTTCTACTGTTCTGTTGTTATGATGTTCTTATGTTCTACTGTTCTGTTGTTATGATGTTCTTATGTTCTACTGTTCTAATGTTCTGATGTTCTGATGTTCTGATGTTCTAATGTTCTGATGTTCTGATGTTCTGATGTTCTGATGTTCTGATGTTCTAATGTTCTAATGTTCTGATGTTTTGATGTTCCTGGTCGCACACAGAGCTGGAGTGGTGTTTTGTTTCATTCACACGTTTGAGGAACTCTTTATTATTAGTCTGTCTTTATGTCTGTAGTGGACCAAAAAAAAAAGTTAAAATTTAATGAAGTTGAAGAAGATGTAATTTAACAAAGGCTCAGTTCATTAACAAAACGCCGGGACCGACTGGAGGAACTTAGACTCCAACTGAACAGAACAAAAACCAGACAAAGAACAGGTGTGTTTAAACACACATTATATTAAATAATTAACTAAAACTACTAACTTCAATAAAGAAACACGAAGGCAAATAATTATAATACAGGAAATAATAAGTTATAATAAACCTTAAACCTTAAACGAACCTAGTCCTCCCCTTTGAAAAAGAACAAGTGTAAGTAATAATTCAGACTTTTATTAACTGATATTTGTGCACCCAAAATGAGAAAGTATAAATCTAAAGGAATTAAATTAAATTATGTGAGTGAATTAACTTACTGAAAATGTAAATGAAATGAAATTAAATACTAAAAACACAGTGGAGCACTTCCTGTATCACCACATGATGACATCACAAGGTGGAACAGAGTGTTTCAGTTTGAGAGAAAAACTCTTTGTGCTTTAAACATGTGAATGAAAAAAAGCACAACTTCAGGTCAGTGAGACGAGGAAACAACAGGAAACAGAACAGACGATTATTTCAGTCTGTTTTATTTATTGATTTAATATTCTGTTTGCTCCTGTCTCTCTGCTCCTGTCTCTCTGCTCCTGTCTCTGCTCCTGTCTCTGCTCCTGTCTCTCTGCTCCTGTCTCTCTGCTCCTGTCTCTGCTCCTGTCTCTCTGCTCCTGTCTCTCTGTCTCTGCTCTCTGTCTCTCTGCTCTGTCTCTGCTCCTGTCTCTCTCTGCTCTCCTCCTGTCTCTCTGCTCTCTCTGCTCTGTCTCTCTGTCTCTCTGCTCCTGTCTCTGCTCCTGTCTCTCTGCTCCTGTCTCTGCTCCTGTCTCTCTGCTCCTGTCTCTCTGCTCCTGTCTCTGCTGTCTCTGCTCCTCTGCTCCTGTCTCTGCTCCTGTCTGCTCCTGTCTCTGTCTCTCTGCTCCTGTCTCTGCTCTCTCTCCTGCTCTCTCTGTCTCTCTGTCTCTCTGCTCTGCTCTCTGTCTCTCTCTGCTCCTGTCTCTCTGCTCTCTGCTCTGTCTCTCTGCTCCTGTCTCTGCTCTCTGTCTCTGCTCCTGTCTCTGCTCCTGTCTGCTCTCTGTCTCTGTCTGCTCCCTGTCTCTGCTCCTGTCTCTCTGCTCCTGTCTCTGCTGCTCTCTGTCTCTCTGCTCCTGTCTCTGCTCCTGCTCTGCTCTGTCTCTCTGCTCCTGTCTCTCTGTCTCTGCTCCTCTCTGCTGTCTCTGCTCTGTCTCTGCTCTGTCTCTGTCTCTCTGCTCTGTCTCTGCTGCTCCTGTCTCTCTGCTCCTGTCTCTCTGTCTCTCTCTGTCTCCTGTCTCTGCTCCTGTCTCTGCTCCTGTCTCTCTGTCTCTGCTGTCTCTGCTCCTCTGCTCCTGTCTCTGCTCCTGTCTCTGCTCCTGTCTCTGCTCCTGTCTCTGCTCCTGTCTCTCTGCTCCTGTCTGCTCCTGTCTCTGCTCCTGTCTCTCTGCTCTGCTCTGTCTCTCTGCTCTGCTCTCTCTCCTGTCTCTCTGTCTCTCTGCTCTGCTCTCTCTGCTCTCTGCTCCTGTCTCTGCTCCTGTCTCTCTGCTCTGTCTCTGCTCCTGTCTCTGCTCCTGTCTCTGCTCCTGTCTCTGCTCCTGTCTCTGCTCCTGTCTCTGCTCCTCTCTGCTCCTGTCTCTGCTCCTGTCTGCTCCTCTGCTCTCTCTGTCTCTCTCTGTCTCTCTGCTCTCTGTCTCTGCTCCTGTCTCTCTGCTCCTGTCTCTCTCTGTCTCTCTCTGTCTCTCTGTCTCTGCTCCTGTCTCTGCTCCTGTCTCTCTGCTCCTGTCTCTCTGCTCTGTCTCTGCTCCTGTCTCTCTGCCTGCTCTCTGTCTCTCTGTCTCTCTGCTCTCTGTCTCTCTGTCTCTGCTCCTGTCTCTGCTGTCTCTGCTCTGTCTCTGCTCCTGTCTCTCTGCTCCTGTCTCTGCTCCTGTCTCTGCTCCTGTCTCTCTCCTGCTCTCTGTCTCTGCTCCTGTCTCTCTGCTGTCTCTGCTCCTGTCTCTCTGCTCCTGTCTCTGCTCTCCTGTCCTGTCTCTGCTCCTGTCTCTCTGTCTCTCTGTCTCTCTGTCTCTCTGCTCCTGTCTCTGCTGCTCTCTGTCTCTCTGCTCCTGTCTCTGCTCCTGTCTCTCTGTCTCTGCTCTCTCTGTCTCTGCTCTGCTCTCTGTCTCTGCTCCTGTCTCTCTGCTCCTGTCTCTCTGCTCTGTCTCTGTCTCTGCTCCTGTCTCTCTGTCCTGCTCTGTCTCTCTGTCTCTGCTCCTGTCTCTGCTCCTGTCTCTCTGCTCTCTCTGCTCCTGCTCTCTGCTCTGTCTCTCTGCTCCTGTCTCTCTGCTCCTGTCTCTCTGCTCCTGTCTCTCTCTGTCTCTCTGTCTCTCTGCTCCTGTCTCTCTGCTCTGTCTCTCTGCTCTCTCTGCTCTCTCTGCTCTGTCTGCTCTCTGCTCTGTCTCTCTGCTCTGTCTCTGTCTCTCTGCTCTGTCTCTCTGCTCCTGCTCTCTGCTCCTGCTCTCTGTCTCTCTGCTCCTGTCTCTCTGCTCTGTCTCTCTCTCCTGTCTCCTCCTGTCTCTCTGTCTCTGTCTGTCTCTGCTCTGTCTCTCTGTCTCTCTGTCTCTCTGCTCCTGTCTCTGCTCCTGTCTCTCTGCTCCTGTCTCTCTGCTCCTGCTCTCTGCTCTGCTCCTGTCTCTCTGTCTCCTGTCTCTCTGCCTGTCTCTCTGCTCCTCTCTGCTCCTGCTCTCTGCTCCTGTCTCTGCTCCTGTCTCTGCTCCTGTCTCTGCTCCTGCTCTGCTCTGCTCCTGTCTCTCTGCTCCTGTCTCTCTGCTCCTGTCTCTGCTCCTGTCTCTCTGCTCCTGTCTCTGCTCCTGTCTCTCTGCTCCTGTCTCTCTGCTCCTGTCTCTCTCTGTCTCTCTGCTCCTGTCTCTGCTCTGTCTCTGCTCTCTGTCCTGCTCTGCTCTGTCCTGTCTGCTCTGTCCTGCTCTGTCTCTGCTCTGCTCCTCTCTCTGCTCCTGTCTCTGCTCCTGTCTCTGCTCCTGTCTCTCTCCTGTCTCTGCTGTCTCTGCTCCTGTCTCTGCTCCTCTGCTCTCTGTCTCTGTCTCTCTGTCTCTCTGTCTCTCTGCTCTGTCTCTGCTCCTGTCTCTGCTCCTGTCTCTGCTCCTGTCTCTGCTCTCTCTGTCTCTCTGCTCTCTGTCTCTCTGTCTCTCTGCTCTCTCTGTCTCTGCTCCTGTCTCTGCTCTGTCTCTGCTCTCTTGCTCTCTCCTGTCTCTGCTCCTGTCTCTGCTCCTGTCTCTCTGTCTCTGCTGTCTCTGTCTGTCTCTGCTCCTGTCTCTCTCCTGTCTCTCTCTGCTCTGTCTCTGTCTGTCTCTGCTCCTGTCTCTGCTCCTCTCTGCTCCTGTCTCTCTGCTCCTGTCTCTGCTCTGCTCCTGTCTCTCTCTGTCTCTCTGTCTCTGCTCCTGTCTCTGCTCCTGTCTCTGCTCCTGTCTCTGCTCCTGTCTCTGCTCCTGTCTCTCTCTGTCTCTCTGTCTCTCTGTCTCTCTGTCTCTCTGCTCTGTCTCTCTCTGCTCCTGTCTCTGCTCTGTCTCTGCTCCTGTCTCTGCTCCTGTCTCTCTGCTCCTGTCTCTCTGCTCCTGTCTCTTGCCGCCGACAGGAGACGGATTACATCATGTCGTACTTCGATAACGGCGAGGAGTTTGGTGCTGACAGCGACGACAACATGGACGAAGCCATTTACTGATTTGACTGATTTTAGTGATTTTAAAGTGATTTTTAGTGATTTTAAAGTGATTTTACTGATTTTTAATGTAATTTGATTTCATTTTTACTCTGCGTCTGTTCGGTGTTTGAGACTTCAGCTGTTTAAAAAAATGAGGAAAAAAATGTATGATTTTATTGTAATTTTTTAATAAACGACTCAAAGTCAAAGGTTTGTTACACTCATTTTTATGTACGCACAAACACACACGCACAAACACACAAACACAAACAAACACACACACACACAAACACACACACTTGTAGGTGGTGTTTCCTTGGTTTTCTTAGCTGGGTTAGGGTTCTTTACGTTTGTTTTGAGCTCAGCTGTGGCCTTTTCCAGTTTATCTTCCCGTTCACTGAATCCCACTGAGCTTTGGCTGCGGCTCGATTTTAAGGCTCAATAAGATTTGTGATATACAGGGTGTCACAAAAAATTTGACATAATTTTAAAAACAATTCTCTTGAAAACTACTAAGTCCAGCTCCATGAAAGTGAACAGTTTAGGTGTTGAACGTCATAAGTTGGTGAAGTTTTTCCAAATGTTGCGCTGAAGCTGCACAGTTTTGGGTGCAGCAAATTCCAAGACACAAAATGACTTTTCTTTGAGAGTGAACCTGAAAACAGAACAAAAATTCAAAAATTAAATATAAAATCTTGATCTGGTTCTATACAAATTTGAGCTCATTTCAACAAGAATTGCCAAAATTATTGACCTACGAAATGATGTCAGATTTTTTGGGACGCCCTGTATTTACTGGAGCGTATTTTCGTGATTATGTCGATCTCTCCAATTTAAATTTGACTTTCATTTTTTTGCAATTGGCAATTAAATTGAGAGTGTGTTATTAGCTGCAGGATTCCATGAGTTATGGAATTATAAACTGGTATTTTGGAGGTGACGTTTAGTGAGAAGATCAAATCAACTTTTGTAAAACAGTGGCTTCGTTTCGATGTTGGAGGTTTTGGTTGTTCCGAATGTAGCAGCTGTTGGTGAGAAGTTGTGTTTGTATCCTCCAGGAAAACAACATCTATAATTTGATTTGGAATTATTGGCTGTTTAATTACATTTGAGTACAAAATGAATTCCTCCTAATTGATGAAATTAATAATGTGGGACAGTGTTGCTCATATTTGTGTATTTTGAACATATTTGAAAACTCAAACCCTCCAATCCTCCATTTCTCTGTCTTTTCTGTCTCAGTCCCTCTGTTTTTTTTCTCTTTCGGGGAGCGCTCGTTTCCAGGCCACTCCCGGGGGGGCGGGGTTCCACGTCACATTTTACACTCGGCCACTTCCGGGTCTGTGCTGAGCGTGCGCACGTGACCCGCTTCCGGACACGCTCCCTCGCTCCGCCCCGTTCACAAAAACAAACGCACCCCGAGTCCCTCCGAGCGGAGCCGAGTCTTGACGGAAACCCCCGAGTCTCAAACCCCGCCCTCCCCCGAGTACCAGACCCCTCCCTCCCCCCGCGCGCACCGGGACCAGCGCCAGAGCCGGACCAAGACCAGGACCAAGACCCGGACTAAAGCAGGACTAAACCCGGACTAAAACACGACTGAGGCCCAGAGCGGGACTCGGGACAGCTCGGGACAGTTCGGAAGCGCTCGGGATGTCTCGGCTCCTGGAGAAGAAAGCGGACAAGATGAAGGAGAATAACGCGAAGGTGAGACTTTTAATGGTTTAACGGACTTCCGCGGAGCCACAGGAGCCTCTGTGAGCCACGGGAGCCTCTGTGAGCCACGGGAGCCTCTGTGAGCCACGGGAGACTCTTTTCAGACACTTTTCTCTCACTTTTCGTCTTCTGTCGCCGCTTTTGTGAGTTCCGCTTTTCGCTCCCTCCCGGTTAAACTGCGCTCTGAGCCGCGGCTCCGGGGCGCACGGCTCCGGGGCGCGTGGCTCGGGTTCGGTTCTGGTTCGGTACTTTAGAGTTTTCCGTGTTTGTTTTGGTGGTTTTATGGTTTTTATTGCGGTCCGTTAGAGACAGAAGCGTGGCGCTTTGTTTCTCTGAAAGGAAACGAGGAAGGAAGCGGCGGGGGAGGGGCTAGGACCCGAGCGAGGAGACAAATGGACGAGGAGACAAGGAGAGAGGAGACAGGGAAAAAGGAGAGAGGAGACACGGACAGAGGAGACAAGGAGAGAGGAGACAAGGAGAAGGAGAGAGGAGACACGGACAGAGGAGACAAGGAGAGAGGAGACAAGAACAGAGGAGACAAGGAGAGAGGAGACAAGGACAGAGGAGACAAGGAGAGAGGAGACAAGGAAAGAGGAGACAAGGAAGGAGACACAACAGTCGCCTAAAGTGATCAGATGACGGACACATGGTGCGCGCGCGTGTGTGTGTGTGTGTGTGTGTGTGTGTGTGTGTGTGTGTGTGTGTGTATGTGTGTGTGTGTGTGTGTGTGTGTGTGTGTGTGTGTGTGTGTGTGTGTGTGTGTGTGTGTGTGTGTGTGTGTGTGTGTGTGTGTGTGTGTGTGTGTGTGTGTGTGTGTGTGTGTGTGTGTGTGTGTGTGTGTGTGTGTGTGTGTGTGTGTGT